CTCATCAGCCATTTCACCATGCTGCTAAAACAAAATAGTTAATAAAAATGAATAGAGTGTAACCGTGTAAGATTCAATATGTATAGAAGTACTAGTAAGAGCACTAAAATAATGCATAAAACGGAAGATAAACTTTGTGGGACTCTAAAGGAAAGAACTGTATAAGCATTGATACACTCAAAAAACTGCATATGCATTGATTATTCTCTCACAAAAGTGTCTCGTGTTTGCACTATACATCCATATTCAAAAAAAACTTTAAATCACTTCATATCAGTATTTCTTCCTTTTAGATTATAATGGATAGGAATGGGAGAGAAAATCTAATTTTCTTCTGTGCCATTCCAATCAGAAGTTGGAGATGGCTTGTTTAGAAGTTATTGAAAATAGCACATTCTAATAAAAGTGCTTTTTCCAAAGCACTTTTTAATGTATCTCTCAAACTATGAATGGTTAGTGGATATCTGAATATACAAAGAGTAGTGCTATTATTTTTTTGTCAAAAAAAATTACTCATAATTTATTAATTCTCACCTCAATATGATTCAAGCTTTTTAGAAACACTCAACTCTCAATCCCCTTAAAACAAATGCCTTGACTTTGATTTTACATGAATGTGAAATTTGAAAATTTAATATTAACTCAACACTTGAACTTGAGAGGGATAAACTAAAAAAACTTGAACTTGCCTTGAACTCAATCAAATTGTATACTTGAAACAACATGAAGCTAAAACTTTAAATTATTCCGATTGAAATTGGACTTATGCTTGGTTTTAAGTGTGACAAGAATTTAAAATGATTTTGAAGCACTACTTCAACTCCAAACATGACTGCATCAACATTGAAATTGAGCCTTCATTTGAACTTGAAACTCTAAACTTCCAGACTTCAAAAAAGAATTAACTTTGACTTAAACTACGATTTATCTTTAACTTTGAGTTAAAACTTGAGACCTTTCATGGTTATGGTATATAACTAGATAAGTCATAAGTTTGTGCTACAAATGCATGTGTTTCTTAAAACTTGAGACCTTTAGCAATGGTTATGGTATATAGCTAAATAAGTCATAAGATTATAATGTGCATGCATCATAAGAAGAGGTTGTGATTTTTATGAAGTACAAAGTGTGCTATTGCTCACCTCTTGATTTTCATTGCTGTAAGATTTGTCACCATTACTCGATTAATCTCCTGCTCCTTTGACCCCTTTAATTTTACTTTTACTCAACTTCGACCTAGCTAATTCCTTACTAGACGATATGCTCCAACACCCGTCTTTTGTGCTCAAAGTGTCTTTTACAACATTACTGATTTCCAAGGAAAAATGTATGGCTATGATACAATGTTGAAAATGAGAATTGGCTATACTACCCCAATTTTCAAAAAAAATTATACTGAAAATAACTTGGTCAAACATTGTAAAATGAAATAGGCAAATTTTTTGTAACTCATGTCCATAACTACTTTTTTCTCACACATTTTAACATCAAAAACAATAATACAATTTTTTTATTTCTTAATTTGAATGCCACTTACCCATGCTCTAAAAGTAGTGAGTAAAGGGAGCAGTACTTTTTTATTAACCTTAATTGAAAGGGAAATTGACATAAATAATCCAATGTTATCTCGATTAATAAAAATGATATCATATCGCAATTTATATACTAATGTAATAACTACAAGTTGTGTTGTGACTCAAAAAAATGAACCTGGAAATAATTGTTGTTTTTATTTCAAAAATAATAATTAAACTACTAGATTATGAAAAAGAAAAAATCACTCAAATAAATGTGTAAAAAAGTCAAATCTTGATAAGAATATTTAGAGTAAGTTCCATAAAAGGTCTATCATAATAGGGGGTTTTTCATATTCAGTCCCATATTCTAAGATATTACATTTGTGGTCTTCAATTTTTCATAACTATTTCATAATCAATCCCTTGAGAACTATATATGGAAAAAAATGTTTGATCAAATTTGGCCTAAAGACTAATTATTGTTGTTGTTGTTGTTATTGTTGTTGTTATTATTATTATTATTATTATTATTATTATTATTATTATTATTATTACGGAGTATTATTATTATTATTATTATTATTATTATTATTATTATAAGTCCTTAGGGACATAATAATAATAATAATAATAATAATAATAATAATAATTGTAATAAGAATAATATGAAAAATACACTTAATTAATTTTTTAAGTTATTCTTATTTCTTTCATAAGATTGCATTCTCACCAGAACCTATATATATATATATATATATATATATATATATATATATATATATATTGTGTGTGTGTGTGTGTTGTGTGTGTGTGTATGTATATTATATATATATATATATATATATATATATATATATATATATATATTGCCCACAAAGCATGGCAAAAGGACAGTTTGACTTATAAGTAAATATTTAGTTATATTGCTGCAGTAGTGCACGATAAATTTATGTGATTCATGCGTTAACAGAAATTCGTCTAATTTACAAAGGAAAACCAGACTAAAATAAGGCACCCTTACGTCTTTGAGGGTGCACAGAATCTCCTCTAAAGCTGATGGTGCAACTGCATCATGGGATATGAGCTTTTGCAGGCAAGATAGTCCAATCACACTCAACTTAACCGTCCTAACCTTACAGGCCATGAGAAAGATGTTGAGTATATCTTCATTTTGAGCAATTTCACTAGGGCTTGACAATGATCTCAGCTGAAAATTCATTACCTTAATGCTTAAAAATCACATCTTGCAAAAATTATATTTCTTCATATTTAATAGACAAGATGGAATTGCAACAAAATAATAATGAAGGCTTAGTACATGAATTGCTTAATTATTTAAACAAAACATCTTCATTAATTATAATCTTGCATTTACAAAGCAGTTTGTTTGAGGGAATGCTTAAGGATAAGCATAGAGATAGGAGTAACAAGATATATAACCTTCAAAATAGCATGTTCTGCGGCGTCCTTAACGTTAGGGTTCCGGCGGCGAGCCTCCGCAGAGAGAGCTCTAAGATCTGACTCCAAGACCGCCATGAGTGTCATCCCACTCCAATCAAATAAAGCTANGCAACAAAATAATAATGAAGGCTTAGTACATGAATTGCTTAATTATTTAAACAAAACATCTTCATTAATTATAATCTTGCATTTACAAAGCAGTTTGTTTGAGGGAATGCTTAAGGATAAGCATAGAGATAGGAGTAACAAGATATATAACCTTCAAAATAGCATGTTCTGCGGCGTCCTTAACGTTAGGGTTCCGGCGGCGAGCCTCCGCAGAGAGAGCTCTAAGATCTGACTCCAAGACCGCCATGAGTGTCATCCCACTCCAATCAAATAAAGCTAGATTCAGTATTTGCTCACACCTGCCCTTTCAATGGCAAAAGAAATTGAAAGTAAGACGTACTCCATATTTTTCAATTTTTGGCTGGTGGTATTGTTCCGTTATCATTCTCAAACAAACATACTCATAGAAAATTTCTTAGGAGTTACACAGATTTTAGAAGATTCTAATGGATTGTTTAGAATTCAAGGATTCTGTAAAATCAATAGATTGTTTTAAGTCTATACAGAGTTAGATAGATTTTAATGGATTTTATCAACAAGATTTTATAGGATTATGATAGATTGTTTATAATTAATAAATTATTTATATTTTTACATTTGAGTTATTTTAAAAATTCATAGACTTCTCCACCAGTTACAAGAACCCTAGACGACTTCCTGTCAATCTTGAGGTAGTTCACCCTCAAATAATGCGCTGCAAACCCCTCTATCACAGCATAACATCAAGGCCAACATAATCAAACAAAAAGAAATTAACCATGTTGCAAATTCTTTTAGCCGATGGCACCTATGAGCACCATAGATCAAATTTCTTTAAATTTTATTTCCGCTAGAAATTTTTTTTCTTTAAACTCATTATCCAGCAGAAGAATGAAAAAAAAAAGAAGAATAATAACAATGAGAAGAATGCGTAGCTTATAAGCAATTTTAGTGGTAGTCATCTAGAATTGAAGTTGAAATGGGAAATTGCTAGAAGATGAGGAGGAGAACCCCTGGGCAGTGGCGGCTATGTTCTTAGAAGCATGTCCCTTCATTCTACTGAATCGCTCCAGATCTCGATTACCGGTCTCAACATTTTCGAAATTCAATCCAATATTACCCAACAACAACCACTCCCAAATGTCGGAGAAGATGGGATGGAGACCTGGTGTGACGAAGTGAATGATCGATTGGGGAAGATGAAGAACCAGGTCGGAGAAGATGAAGAACCCGGCCGGAGAAGATGAAGAACCCTGCTCGAGAAGATAAAGAACCGTGAGATTTGCGAAATCTATAGCTTTTCCGTGAGATTTGTGATATTGATTTCTATTTAGGGTATTTCATGCCCAGGTAAATGAGAGGGCATGCATACCCCTCTATTAAATTGCTGCCATGTGGATTGATTAAGTAAAAACTTCATTTCATTTTAAATTTAAAAAATTGTAGTAAGGCCTTGTCTTGTGCCTCTTGTTAGGGTTAGTTCTTCCGTCATCTACTCCTATTCCATTATTAAATTTTATTACTCGGATTTATGCTTTCAAAAAAAGAAGTTAATCACTCAATTTTTTTCATTGGTTGCATTCTGTTTAATTTATTTTTTCTTATTTATTACTAATTTTTATTTAAATTAAATTATTTAATATTAGATGCACTCAAATGTTATTCAAAATATTTTTATTAGATTTATCTTGTATGATAAAAGGAAAAATTATTCAAAATCCTTTAATATAATATTTGAGAGTTGATAGCCTAGAATTTTGACATGTGGCAAATTAACACTCCTATTTTGATGACAGATTGACACACGTCTAATTATAGGCAAAGCGCTCCTTCGTCCTTCCAGTACCCGTTCTCTCTCTCCGCCGAGTTCTTCGCGCAGACGGAAGGAAATTTCCTGCAAATTCTCGCCTTTCCTACTTCTTCGCGTGAAATTTGCGATTTCCCAAGGATTTATATTCCATCTACATCCCGGATCAATCGCAACGGCTCAACATTCCATCTTCACGAAGGAAAATCTGCAAATTAGGTAGGTTTTTTCCAATTTATTTGGGTATTTATGTATTGTGGAGCAAAATTCGGTGTTGCGATTAAGGTGCTGGATTTTTTTACTTCTTCGCCATTCACGGAAGAACTATACCAAATTTACACATCCCATTTTCGCCAATTACACTTCCCTTCTTCGCCAAAGGAAAGAATCTGTTTGCGCCAATTACTCATCCCTTCTTCGCCAAAGGCAAGAATCCCTGACAGTAGGTTTCTTTCCAATCTAAGTCTTATTCAATTGGTATTCCCATTCAATTCTTAAATTTGATTCAGATTCACAATTTTCGCAATTTTTTTGGCATCTTCACGGTTTCTTATTCACAATTTGGGCGTGTGAGATTACACGCCTTATTTACAATCATATATGCCTAATCACATACCTTCTTTCACCAGTTTCCTGATTTATGCTCTACCCATGTATAGTGATGAGGAGACCACGAATTATATTGAGATGGTGTTCATGTATGAACATGTAAGTCGAAGCCTCATAATGATACTATGCCCATTATGGAATTGGAACTTGGATGATGTTTTTTTGAACTCATCCAATTTACTGGGTAAAACTAATTAGAACTTAGTTTTAAACTCTTCTAATTAGTCAAGCTCTATTGCAATGACTATAAGTATGAAACATGTGGTGAATCTAATGGTTTAGGTTTTAATTATCTCCGACACTTATTACTATATTTTGAGAATTTTTCTTTTAACTATATCATGAAACATTTTCAAAATAGGTATCATATCGAATCAAGAAAAGAGTCGTTGACGCCTCGGGTAGTGCTACTTTGGTAGTATTTGAGAATGTTGGATGTTTACTGCTTCATAACTCGTGTTCCGAAATGATGAAATATTGTGAGGTATGTATGTATATGATAAATAAATTTGGGTTTGAACATAGAGGGAGCTTGATTTGTTTCTTTACAACATTGTATTATTGACAGTGTTGTAAGATCATTTTAAAGTTGTTTTATTTACTTTCATCCCATTGAATTCATTTAGAGCTTACTGCTTTTTTTTGTGTCCAATGGTTTAAACCATGTTCAATCCTTTTAGCCAACTACTTTCTTTTAGGCACTACTCAATCAAATATGATCCATTTGAATAGAGCCACTCTTCAGGCCATGTTTAGATGACCATAATTTAATGTGATTTTGGTATGCATGTGTTTGATTTACTGTAATTTAAAGTGAAGTAGGAGTATGAGGTTGTATTGATGACATTAGTAGTTAGCATTAAAATTTCATGCAATACCATCAGAGAATACCATTCTTTACTTTCCAATGGGTTCATATTTGTAGGCAATTTCTGTGACAAATTATCATTAAACCAGTTTCTTAATGACACCTTTCTCTTGCAAAGTGTTTAACACTAAATTTATACGTTACATAGTTGCTGATGGGGTAGTTTGTGAGGAAAACTCTTAAATGAATAATAAAGTACTTTTTCAGCAGTAGCACTTTTGGGAGTTAAATTTAGTGATTGAATGTACTTATGGCTGATCTTAGACAATTAGCCTTTATGGTGATGCTTGCATCTGGCATCATCTACTAATTATTAATTCAAATTCTCATGTAGAGTGTCTCGGGTGGAGACATACAACCATATGGCTTCAATGAGTTAAGGTCAAGCGTGCACACTTCAATGAGTTCGATCCTTCCTATAATGTGATTGACATCTGTTTCAATAAACAAACCATCTAAAATTCAAGGAAATGTATTCTACTTTTTTCAGCCCAGGTTTGGACAGCCGTTAACCCACCGTTCGTAACTTAACGGAGACCAAAAATTTACAAATTTTAGTAAAGTTGGGATTATTATTCATCATAGTGAAATGTGTAATTACTTTTGAAAGACCGGATAAAGTTAGGATTATTCTGTATAATTTTTCCCTTTTGATTTTTTTATCTAATTAATACTCCCTCCGTTCCACAAAACCCTTCCCCTTTTGTTTTTTTGTTTTCCACAAAACACTTCCACTTTCTATTAAAAACCACTTTTACCCCTACTTTTTCATACCCTACCTATCACATCATATTTTTTTACTAATAATCAAACTATCACATCTTACTTTTTCCCATCACATCACGGGCAAAATTAGAAAATCAACCAAAATTATACTTTTTTTATTTTTGCCCAAAGTCAAAATGGGAATGGTTTTGTGGAACGGAGTGAGTATAACATATAACTTTTATATAATTTTAAGTTAAATGTTGATGTAACGTCCCAAAATATACCCTAAAAAGAACCTTATTTGGATTTCTTTTTCTATAAGTGTATTTTTTTTATTTTTCATATCATTTTTCTATTATGTTTTCCTTTTTTTATATTTTCTTTCCCTATTCCATGTTTTCTTATTTAAATGTATCAAAAAAATTCTATTTATTTTATAAAGAAAAAAACAAAAATGTTTTAGTCAATATTGATCTGATCTGATCTAGTGTGATCTGATCTGATTAATTATGATTTGATTTAAAATTCAAATCAATATTTTGATTTGACTTTATAATAACGTTTGAAAATTGTAATGATAATTCATATTATAATATAATCAAAATTTTTTATTTTATGATTATTTTTTAGTGAAATAAAATTAGTTAATTCATATATTAGAATAATCATTTATATTATATTATAATAATAGTTTTTATTTTATGATTATTTTTTTATGAAATAAGAATATTGATTTAATATTTTAATAATTAGTTCATATATCCATTAGAATAAATATTTAATTCATGTATAAATTAAAAAATAATTAAATTTAGATAATTAATATAGATAAGAGATAGTATTTTTATTAAAATATCTCATCCTTATAAAATATCAGCATGTGCTTTGGACTACGAAACTTTTTTTATGATTAATATTGTTGAGTCACAAAATATTCTATTTTATTCCTACATTCCTTAGTACTTTTAAGATATTTACTATGCATTTTATACATAAATGAGAATATTTTCTAATATTTGACATTTTAGGCTATTGTTTACATTTTATACATGAAATGCACGATTTTGAACTTTTTTATTATTTGATAATTATTTTGGAAGTATTATTTTTCATGACAAAATTCTTTAGATATATTTTAGAACATCAATAGTTGAGGAAGATAGCATTATTGGACCTTTGGAGCAATAAGAGAGAAGATTGGGCCAAGTCCAAATTTGACCCATAAGAAATAAATAAAGAGAGCAAAGAAAATAAAGGAAAGGAAAAAAAAGCTACGCTTCTCCCAAATCCAAGCGTAGGAAACGAAGAAGAAGGCTCAAGAGACGGGAATCCAGCGCGAGAGATACAATTCTTCTCATATTCAAACTCTTCTACTTCAATTATAAAAAGAGGAGACCAGATCGGGAAAGGGGGAAACGGATAGAGACGAGAGAACAGATCGGAGCAGAGCAGGTGCCGACCTAGGTTTCCGACCCTAGGTCCGGCGACGGCAATTGCACAGCGGTGACGACGACGGGAGGTCTGGACGGCGACGGCAAGGCGAGATCGATGCTTCGGTGATTGGGAACTCCCCCGACTCCTAGCTTCTGTGCACTGTTCGGACGAACACAGAAACTCAGGGGAGCAATTTTCTCCTTTTTAATTTCATTCTTTAATTAAGACTTTCCAATGTATAAGTTTCTCAATTTATGAATTTGATTGTCAGTATTAAATATGTTTATTTTCAATTCCATGTTTGTTGAATGTTTAAGTTATATTATAAGTGTTGAATTGTTTGTGTGTTAGTGTTGAATTGTTCAAATATGATTTATTGATTTATTATTGTCTCTGAAATTATAAAATCTTCTTAGGCCAAATTGTTTGATGAAAAAGATTGAATCTTTGTTTGTTGAATTAATTTGACTTTGAAGGAATTTTAGCTTTATGCTACTGTTAAATCTAAACTCGAAAATGGTGTTTGAAAACTAGTCTTTGTTTAAACTTGGATTAGATCAATTTAGGACGGCCGCCTAAACTCTAATTCCAATTGACAGTTTTAAGATCTTGAGTACGTTTATGGCTAAGATTTTCAAAACACAAATGTCACCTGGTTAATACATAATTGGCTCCCACCCAATTTTTATTAATCAGAGTTTTCAAGCTGGCTATGTTAAATAGATATAGTCTACTGCATAGTTGTTAAGTGATATTTTTCAAAGAACTTAATGCTCTATTTTTAATTAAATTTGGGGGCAGGTCCTTAGGTTGTTAAGAATAGTAGGGTCTAGAGTTAGGGCAGGTCTTAACATAGGCTATATTAGGGAGAATAGGAAAGAACCGCAGGTGGATCTCTTCTTCAGCTTAACCCTGAGTTTAATTAGCAGTTTAGTTTCAGGATTAAGACATAATTAATTGATTAATCAGATTTGTTCAATTTATTTTCTATTAAAAACTATAAGTATTTTCAAAAAGGTTTAAGTTAATTATTATTGTCTATGTTATTATAAAGTTTATTGTGTGATTGTTTTTGTGTGTTGGTTTCTCCCTGAGTGTCTTCTGAGTTCGAGTTGCTGTTGTGGTTTCATTTCGTATCTCTTATCTGTTATCATTATCTTTATGTTATTTGCATTTTTATCTTTTAAGAATTATCATTCAAATTCCCCATATCTCTTAGTTTTAGTTTTAGATTTTCGTTAGTTTTTATTCAATAAAAGTGACAAGTGAACTAATTTTCGTAGCCTAAAAAGTATCTTTCCTTGTGGGATCGACCCTTACTTGCCCTATCTATATGTTTTGATGAATATTGAATCATAAAGGGGGTTAAAAGTTAAGGAAATAATAAATTAATTTGTAGGTACTACGACACGCCTAACAAATTTTGGCGCCGTTGCTGGGAAAGATTAACTTTTTATGAAAATCAGTTTGCTATGTTTCCAAAAAAAAAGAAAAAAAAATATAAAACAAAAAAAACAATAAAGCTTGAAAAGCAAAAAAAAATTAAAAAACCCTGAAAAATATCAAACAAAGTAAACAAAAAATAATAATAATAGCAAAGAAAAACTCTAACATCAATACTTTGACGAATAAAGAGTTGTACACACAAAAAACTATAAATGAAATTTAAATAAATAAAATTGATAAAAAAGAACAAGTAAAACACTAACAGGGTAAAATATCACCTAGACCAAAACAAAGAAACAACAACAACAACAACCCAGTTGAATCCCACTACAGTATGGTCTGGGGAGGGTGTGTGTACGCAGACCTTGCCCCTACTCGGAAGTAGGGAGGCTGTTTCCAAGAGACCCCCGGCTCAACCTGCACAAAAATATGGTAGGGAACATAATATAACAAAGTAACAAGATATAACACGATATAACAGGCTAAAGCACCAAGTACAATGAAATGAAAGTCCAGCAAGCAAAAGTAGAAGATTCCAATCAAACACAACACACTACAAAAACCTCTGCAGCACCGCGCTCCTAACCAGCTACTTTAATCCTAGTCCGCCAAAGGTTCCTATCTAAAGCCATATCCTCAGTCAGGGTGAGAAGTCCTAAATCCTGCCTAATCACCTCCTTCCAATTCTTCCTAGGTCTACCCCTTCCTCTACTTCCCTCGATAACCGTGATCCTCTCGCACCTCCGTACAGGGGCATCAACATCCCGACGTCTCACATGCCCAAACCATCTCAACCTCGCTTCCCGCAACTTATCTTCCACCGGCGCCATGCCTACCTGACGTCGAATATCTTCGTTCGAAATCCTATCCAACCTTGTCTTCCCACACATCCATCGTAACATCCGCATCTCCGCCGCATGCAAACGACGCACATGAGTCTTCTTAACCGCCCAACACTCTGCCCCGTATAACATAGCAGGTTTGACTACGGATCGGTAGAACTTACCTTTCATCCTGGGTGAAATCTTCGGGTCACACAACACCCCTGAGGCCAACCGCCATTTGGCCCAAGCCACTCCAACACGATGTCCAACATCCCCGTCTAACTCCCCATCCGCCTGGATTACCGAGCCAAGATATCGGAATCTGTCTACCTTAGGTACTACGTGAGAGTCAGTCCTAACTTCCACTTCTAATTCTGTTTCCCGGCCGCTGAAACGACATTCCATGTATTCAGTCTTATTCCTACTTATTCTAAATCCTTTAGTCTCAAGGGCAAGGCGCCATCGTTCCAACTTATCGTTTAGTCCCTCACGTGTGTCGTCGATAAACACGATATCATCCGCAAAAAGCATGCACCATGGGACCCCTTCTTGAACACCTTGAGTTAGGACGTCCATCACCAAGGCGAACAAAAAAGGGCTAAGGGCAAACCCCTGGTGCAACCCCATCCCTACTGAGAATGACTCAGAGTCGCCCCCGGAGGACCTTACCCTAGTCATAGCCCCATCGTACATATCCTTGATCGCGCGAGTGTATGCGATGGGAACTATTCTCGTCTCTAGGCACCTCCATAATGTTGGACAATGTGCTATCATGAATATATATTTTTGCAATGTCCTTTGCCCATTGTCTTTTAGGTTTTGATAATGACAAAAGGGTGACAAAACATCATCATCATTTTGTGCATCAAGGCTAAGAATCAAAGCTACAACAAGTTCATATCCGTCCGTGAAGAAGGGACTTGAGCATCGGTGGAAGGAACGAGACCGAAGAGGTTGTTTCCTTAGTTGGGTAGTGTTTTAGGTCTTAGATTTTGTGTTAAAGAGTATGGCATCTCTAAGGTTCATTCCCTTATCATCCTACCTTTAAAACACATTTTTTTCAGCAAACTATTCGAATAAATTGAAAACTATTCGAATAAATCCCTGAAATTCTATTCTGACTTAGTTGAATAAATCCAGAACTAGTTGAATAAGTCAGATTGCAGTTTCACCAAAACTAGTCGACTAAGTCTTGATTTAGTCGAATAGTTCGATAGTTTCAACTACCAAACGGCTAGTTTTTTGAATGCTTTTCATCTCTATCCACTCCCTAACTTCTATAAACTATCTACTTTCGTGATTATCTTTATAAGAACACTTAGAACACTTTGAAGAACATATCCTTTGAATATCCAAAGAGATTCTACTCAATCCCCTCCTTATATCCAAGCAAGGCAATTGTTTTGATTGCTAAATCATTTCTTGCTTGAGTTTTTCCTCATT